ATTGTTGACATAACAATAATTTTTGACTATAAATCACATATGAAATTTAGGAGGGTAATTTTGTCATTTCATTATCCTTCCAAAAGTCAATTTCAATTTTAAAAAGTCAATATTTCTTTGACTTTTTAAATCATGTTTGAATTTGGGAACAATTTTAAAATACAAATATGCCTTTTTTTTAAAAGAAATTTCAAACAAGTTATTGCTAATGTAATTTTTGGACTTGCAAGGGCAAATTGTAGTCAAAAGTTTCAAAGTAGGAAATCCTTCATCATTAGAGTGGTCTAGCTTCGAATAATCCCTATGTGTGTGTCTTGTGTGTCTGTGTGCGTGCGTGTGAGCCTAAATACACACACACACATACCCAATGGTCTAGATTGAATTTGAGCCGATTTGATGGCCAATGTGTATGCATCAAGGTTTAAAAAGAATGGATTGGTGACTCGGATCAGCCACCCAAAAAACTGGGTTAGATCGGTGGATCTGCCGGTTTTGGCATAAATGTTTTTCGAAAAATACTAAAAATCCCTAAAAATAGTGATTTTTGAATTAAAAAAAAAACTTTGGGTAGTTCATTATGTACTTTCATTATATTACAAAATACGTGAATATTGAGACGTCATTTCCTTGTTTGGATATTGAAAGGTGGATAGGGTGAACTAGTACGGTTTATGGAGTTTAAAATTTTTATTTTTCTTAACCATCTAGAACACTTTCAAAGGTCTGACGATTACAAAATAAACTCAAAAGAATATAAAAGAAACATAAAAACAAAGAAAAGAATTCTCACTTGCTGCTAGTTAATACAACTCCTTTGTTGTATAAAAAAAATTACGTAAACAATGACTTGGGAACAAGAAACATAAGCTGCAGTAACAAAAATTAATGTGCCAAAAGGTTACCTCAATTGGACTTGAATACTTCATACACCCCACTAGCGTCTCCTCCTCCAATGGCACTAGGGATCAATGTCTTTCTTGAATCTTACAACTGTGGGAAACCTTGGCTCGAAACCCTTTCAATGATGAGAGCAATATGGATCAAAAGCTAGGCCTCAAACTATGTGTAGGGGTGTACCCCTCTTGGCTCTATGGTTGCAAAAAGCGCTAGGCGGCCCCTAGGCGATTTGGGGGGTCCAGGCTGCCCAGCGCCTAGGCGGGGGTGCTCAGAACCTGGGCGGCCTAGAAAATTTGTTTTTGTTTTTGGGGTTTTTCTCTCTCTAAAATAGCTTCTAATGGGTTTTAGGTTCATTTGAAACCTAAAACCCACAATTTTGCACCTTTAGTATTAAAAAAAATGACCCAATAATGGCCTCAACGAGCGGCATTTTCGCCCTTGGGGGAGTACAAGCCTAGGGCGGCCGCCTAGGCGGGTTCCCGGGCGCCCGCCTAGGTGGGTTCCCGGGCGCCCAAGGATACCCGCATGGGCCTGGGCAATGCGCCCAGGCCTTCTAGACCGCCTAGGCGGTTGCCCAGGGACTGGGTGGTCCGCTTTTTGAAACACTGGAACTAGGTTCTTTGATCCTATTTTGTCAACCGATTATCAAATAGAATCGACCAGTTTTGTCGTGGAACTGATACGAACTTGCCCGGATTGGGCAATTCTGGGGAGAAAATGACTGGTTCCTGATATATTGTGGGAACTAGGTCGCCCAGGAAGATTTTTGACCTAGATCGACGATTTTTGAAACATTGTATGCATACTATTTGATTTTTTCACAAATCTGATAGACATCAAACTTGGGGACATGTGCTCCTATCCTAGTTGCACCAAAATGAAATTGGAAAATAACAGGGAAAAATAAAATGACCAAAATGCACTTGCCCTTGGTGGTGAATACTGTGGGGTTTTTTATGGTTTGTTTTATATATTTTTCTTAATTTCATTTTGGTGCAAGTAGTTAGGCGCATATGTCCCCAAAATTGCAGGTCAAATGGATTTAGAGGAAAACTATTGAGAATCAAGTTGTCATACATGTTGGTGGTCAGATATGTCAACATGGAATTTAGGCCCTCTGGTTAATATCATTTTGCCAGCCCTATGGCTAACAGATTTCCTATATATGCATGTGTGTGCGCATGCAAGTGTGCATGCCTTTGTGTTTGTGGATATAGATTTTGTCAGCCCATGGGGTGATGAAAAAAATTAAGTCTTATGGCTCAAATTGAATCTGAGCTGATTTGATGGCCAATATGTCAGCTCACTATTTGTTTTTTAGTTTCTTTTTACTTATTTATGAATTTGTAATATGAAAATATAAAATAAAAAAAATACCCCAACACATTCACTAACAACAGTGTGGGTGTTTTGGTCATTTTAGATTTTGCGTACTAACTATTTTACATTTTTATTTGGTGTGCGTTGGTATAGTGCACATGCTAAATATCTGGTTGATTAGATTTATTTTAACAAAAATAAAGTTCATCACTGAGCCGCCACAATATATATATATATATATATATATATATATATATATATATATATATATAGTAGGAGTAGT